ACGCGTCAACCCAGGTTTGATTCCTACATCCCTCTCAGAGAGCCCAGCAAGCTACCAAGAGTATCCCGCCTGCATGGCAGAGCCTGGCAGGCTCCCCGTGGTGTATTAGATATACCAAAAACAATAACAAGTGTCACAATGGAGACATTAGAGGTGTCCGCGTGAGCAAATCGATGAACAACGGAAGAATAGTGCTACAGTGCTACATAACCTAAGGAGTGCTCCATGAGCAGGAGCCAGAGAAAAATTTATTAATTTCCAGTAACTTCTCATTGGTTTACAGGATTATGGAATTTCAGGGACTTAGCACCATTTTCTCACTCCTACCAAAAAAGTTCCAGTGCAAGCCCACCACCAAAATGAGCCCATCCCCCCATTCCTTCTGGCAACCACCATAAATATCACTGAATCTAGGAGTTTTCTCTAATTTCTTACTAATTCCTCTAAGTCAGTCATTCCTATTCCACATTGCAATAAAACCATCCAGTAATTCTTTCATTTCCCTGTTTATTTCACTCAGTGTAATCTCTAAGTTCTATCCATTCTGTCTCCAAAGACACAATTTCACCTTTTGAATTGTAAAATCGTATTTTATTGGGTATATATGTCACAGTTTATCCAGTCATCTCTTGGTGTCCATTTAAGTTAACTCCACGTTTAGCTTTTGCAAATAATGCCTCTATGAATGCTTCTATAGGGGTGCTAATATCTTTTTGAACTAAGTGTCTTAATATCTTGTGAGTAAGTGTCTAGGACTGGCATTACTGGGTCAAATTAAATTTCTGTTTATATTTTTTAATGGTATTGCTGCAGAATTTTCCACAGAGGCTGTACCAATTTAAATTCCTACCAGTAATGTGCAAGAATTCTTTTACTACAAATCCTCATCTACATGATGCTTTTAATATATAGACTTTTCTCACAGGTGTGAGACTATAATCTCATTGTGATTTTGATTTACATTTCCTTAACAATGTGATATTTAGCATTTTATTCACATGTCTGCCATGGGCTGTTCTTAGTCTGTTATATCTATTTTTTTTTATGTAGGAGACTGCTATTTATTCACCCATTGATTAAGCTGATGGAAGTAGGCATGAACTTCACAGTACTTTTTAGAAAAAAATTATTGAATATCCATGAAATAGACCATTACAGTTCTGTTCATAATTAGGTTGTAGTCATTCAGTGATCCAACACCTATCCCTACACCAGTATATATTTCCCATCACCACTGTCACTTGTTTCCCTCCCACCATCTTCCAACACTCCACCCCCCACCCCCAGCCTTTTTTTTTTTACTCTCTCCTATTCCTTTTGTGTGTTATGGTTTGCAATACAGGTACTCAGAGATCATGGTATTTCTTCAGGGCATTCAGTATTTTTATCAGGTTGGTTAGGCTGAGTAACTTTTAACTGGGTGGCAGCTTTGGGGTGTGAACATGACTGCCAAGGCTTCCAGAAATACAGGGAGGTGGGGAGAGATAGGCCATCCAGACTCTGAAAAAGCCTGGAGATTTCAGTCACAAAATCCGCATACCAAATGTCTTAGTGGGGTCTGTCCTAAGATGGTGAAGTCTGGTTGGGGGTCTGGGGCAATTTTGGATTATGGGAGCAAGCACCTCCTGGGGACTCTGTCTGGGTGGGCACAAGCTAACCTGTCCCCCTCCAATTTAACATGGTCTGCTCACCTTTGTGTGGGTCCAAGATTAATTGTAGCTTTTGCTCTCTTTCGAGATTTATGTATGGGTCTCTGAAGCAAGGCCATTAGAAGAGCTTACATGGTGATGCTGGAGTTGGTCAGTGGGGTTGACTGCTGGTGCTTCTAGCAGTATAGGGAAGTGGTGGAAGGTGGCTCTTCCCAACTCTGAGTAATAGGCTTTTATATCTTATTCTTGAGGCACTATACGTTTTGCTTAAAGTATCAAAACCACCAAGACAAAAGACCTCCATTTTTATTTAAGTGTGGAAAATAAGGACTTTCTCTAATGCTCTGTGTTTGGAACTCTTTATGTCAGGGAGAGTGAGAAAGGACATTCAAGAACTTTGAGGAATAGACTTCCCATGCATAGAGCTTCTCCAGTATTAGTCTATCCCTTGTCTATCCCTTGCACTGTGTCAGGGCCAAAGAAGGGAAAGTGATGTTACTGGGTATCATGACAAACACGGTATTTTGTCTAGTGTTCTCAATATCTACAAAGAAAAAGATAAGATAAATGCTAGGGAATAGACAGTGATGCCTATTTTAAAGAAACCTAGAGTTTCTTTGCAATAACAATTGCTTTGCAATTATGTTGTGTTTCTCTTTTGAAGATTTTTAGTAAATACCACTTTTTAAAAAAATTATTGAATCACTATAAAATAGTTACAAGCTTTCATGTTTGGATTACAATCATACAATGATCAAACACCCACCCCTCCACCAATGCACATTCCCCACCACCAATATCCCTGGTATACCACCCCCCTTTCCCATCCTCTCACTGCTCCCATGGAAGACAATATTCCCCATACTCTCTCTCTATTTTGGAACATTATGGTTTGCAACACAGATACTGAGAGGTTATCTTGTTTGGTCCATTATCTACTTTCAGCACACATCTCCCATCCAGACCAATTCCTCCAGCCATCATTTTCTTATTCAGCAACCATTTTCTTTTCATATTCTCTATTTTAGCAGCCTTCTCCCCTCTGCTCATGAGGCAGGCTTCCACCTATGGAGCAGTCTTCTTGGCCCTTGTATCTACCGTCCTTGGGTTTCAGCCTCACATTATGTTATTTTATACTCCACAAATGAGTGCAGTCCTTTTATGTCTGTCCCTCTCTTTCTGATTCATTTCACTTAGTATGATACTCTCCATGTCTATCCATTTATAAGCAAATTTCATGACTTCATCTCTCCTAACCTCTTAGTTTTATAAAAATATAAATATGCGGGTTTTTTTCTGATTTACTCTTAAAGAGTACTGACAAAACCTTGGTTGAAGTTCCCTTTATGTGACTAAAATTTGTTTTTTAAAAAACATACAATCCATTAACTGCATTTTATTTGTGCCATATTACCTAGATTGACCCTCTTAATAGGATCATGCATAGATTTTTCAGTAATGGTCTAACTCCTCCTATGTGATTCTTTATAGTTAGATGGCATGCTATGTGTGCATGCATGCACGCATACACAGTTCTAGTGTACATCTCCTAAGTTGACTTACTGTTGTTCTAATAGGTCTTATCGGGTAGTTAAAAAACTTTATTGCTTATTTTTCTTGTAATCCACCTTGTATATTTTGGGTAATGAGGCAGGTTATATAAATAAAGCAAATAAAAGTGCTTTATATAGTGTTGCCTAGACTCATAGGTCTTAAAAGGCTGGCATCCCCAGGAAAAGCTGTCACTTTTACAGGTAAGATATTTTCACCCTCATTTAAAATATAGGGTAGCTCAGGCATAGAGAGTTTTTGCAATTTATCTCAGCCCCCATATCCAGTGACACAAGGAATCAGTTGTCCATCTGTGAAACTCCGGCCCTTTTCAGCTCTGATAATTCTGTGAGCTCTTGGAAAAGTCTAGATTGCAAACACTGTGGAGGTCTTTTTCTCTGTGCTGCTTCCTCTAGGCCTTACTGTGGGATGTATTTTAAGGTTATGGTGAAGGCAACAAATATCCTGTTCAAATAAATTAGGACCTTTCTGAGTTGAAATAGAGGTATTTCACACCCTTTGCGTGTATTCTCATGACTAGTAGTAAAGCATTAACTGAGATCAAAGGGTTCTAAGTAACTGATTCAATGGTATTATAAGCCCCAGATAGCATATTTGGTCTCTCAGAGTTTTCTTGCCTGGAAACAAGGAGTCATGGGACATACAGCTATAATTAAATCACAACTCACATAGCCCCCTTTGAATACGTGGTCTTCCAGTTAGAAAGCCTGTCACTTCATATCTTCTGGTCATAGTTACATAGAAGAGGGCTGTTCTTCTTGATCAGAAACTGAATTTCCCATACGCATGGTACACCTTCCCCTGCTGACCCACAGAAATGAAAGGCAGAGTAATGATTAAATCTAATTTTCCCTCCTGTAGTAGCAGGATGAGCTGGGTCAGCAAGGCCAGTCCCTGTAGATGGCTTCAAAATACCTTTGTGATTTGATCTTCTTGCCTCCCCATTCATTTCTCTAAGTGCCTATCACTGTCATTCTTTACCACCCCGACAAGATTCCAAGGTGAGCGCAGAACAAATGAACAAGAGCTCTTGGGATGCCTCCTGAGGCTGTTGCTTATTAAATGAGGTAGATAATGAACCAAGTCTGACTGCAAAGCTGCAAGGCAGGTTAGCACACTTACATGAGATCACTCCATACACTGTTAACCCTTTCAGATGCATTGCTATCTCATCGCTGTGTAGCAGGACTCCCAGGAAAGGAATATAAACTCGTGAGTTAATTATATGACTTTTATTTTCTAATGTGGTGAAAAACACTTGGTCTCATTCCTTTATTTGTGTTAGAGCATACTTTTTTTCAGAACAACCAAAGAATGTTTATGAAGTGTGTGCTTGTGTGATGAAGTGCATTTTTGTGCATATGTGTGTGATGAAGTGTGTGTGATGAATCACATCTGCAGGCATGACTTCAGTTTTCGCACGCATGCATGCATGATGGGATGAGTGCATGTGTGTGACCATGAAGAGTATTTGAGTCTGAAATGCATATGGGTTTATATGTGAGATGAAGCATGTGTGAGGCTGATGGGGGAATAATAAAAATGTGTTGCTTTGGGGCTGTCTCTTAGGCATTCTTGTCAGGATATTTGGTGATACCTAGAAATATATTCTACTCAAAGGTGTTCATGCTAACTCAAGAATATTACCATTAAACAGATTTCACTGTTCCAAGTTAATTTGCTACTTGGGATTTGCAGAACGTGTTTGATTTCCCTGTTCTAGCACTCACTTATATGATACACACATCAGGTAACTCATTTAATTTTGTTTCCCAATAGATTGGCAATATCATGTGGCACAGATCTTCCCAGGGATGGAAGAGGATGTTGAGGTGGACACACATGCCTTCAGTCACAGGTGGAAAAGGAACTTGGACTCTCTCAAGGCCGTTGATACAAACCGAGCAAGTCTGGGTCAAGACTCCCCAGAGCCCAGAGGCTTAACAGATCTGCTGCTGGACGATGCGCAGGACAACACCACACAGATTGAGGTAGATACATTGTCTGGGTAATTGTTTGGTGTAAGGAATATATTCCCCAACCAGTTGCCCAATTTACCATTAGCACTGTCCTCCCATTGTTCATTGATTTGCTCGAGCGGGCCCAGTAACGTCTCCATTGTGAGACATGTTGTTACTGTGTTTGGCATATCGAATACCTCACAGGTAGCTTGCCAGGTTTTGCCGTGTGGGCGAGATACTCTCGGTAGCTTGCCGGGCCCTCCGAGAGGGGCGGAGGAATTGAACCTGGCTCAATCGGGCTATCTGCGTGGAAGGCCCTACCACTGTGCTATTGCTCCAGCCCAATTTACAATCTATCTATCTATCTATCTGTCTGTCTGTCTATCTATCTATCTATCTATCTATCTATCTATCTATCTATCTATCGGGGGCCCGATAGATAGATAGATAGATAGACAGACAGACAAGATAGATAGATTGTCCTTTTTACTCAGTGTAGAGTCTTCACACTCTTGTAAAGGTAAATTTAATTAGTTGAAGATGAATATGGTACTCCTCAGTGATTCAGTAACAGAATTATAATGATAGCAAGTAAACTTAATAATGATCACTTGGTCATTTAGTTGCTGGCTTATCCATTAATTCCCCCATGTAACCATGAGTTTGGCATGATCTTGAAAGTGAGGCAACACGAGGAGAAACAGCTCTTGTCTGCAAGGAGCTTGGGGTGTTGGAAGTTAAATGCCTTTAAGTGGAGCATCATCCATCTGATTGTGATAGCGGCAAATATAGGCTATTGCAGGCCATGGAGAGAGAGAGGCAGGCAATTGCCAGAGGGACTCTGTATATCAGTGGGCAGTGGACTTGGCCAACTGGTGAGGACTCTCTGGGTTGATTGAACCTATTGGTGCTGAGAGAGGGGCCCTGCCAAGGCAGCTTCCCTCTGCAGTTCATTATTTACAGAACCGAAAGGCAATACTTTAGCACCTTGAGTGACACAAGCCATTGTCCTAATCTTCCTGGGCTTCGGGGATATCCTGAACTGTAGGGGGTCATTTCCTGGAAATCTGAGATTTCTGCTTTGAACTGGGATAAGTTCCTTTCTATGGTTGGAGTAGCACTGTAGCACTGTCTTCCCATTGTTTACCAATTTGCTCAAAGTGGGCCCAGTAACATCTCCATTGTGATACTTGTTGTTACTGTGTTTGGCATATCAAATATATCATGGGTAGCTTGCCAGGCTTTGCCGTGGGGACGAGATACTCTCGGTAGTTTGCCGGGCTCTTTGAGAGGGTCAGAGGAATCGAACCCGGCGTGGCCGCATACAAGGCATATGTGCTATGGCTTCAGCAGTTGGAGCAAAAATAATAATAATAAATAAATAAAAGGTAAAGGTAAAGGCCCTCCCGTTGTTCGTCGATTTGCTCAAACGGGCCCAGTAACGTCTCCATTGGAGACTTTGTTGTTACTGTGTTTGGCATATCAAATACGTCACGGGGAGCTTGCCAGGCTCTGCCCTGCGGGCGAGATACTCTCAGTAGCTTGCTGGGCTCTCCGAGAGGGGCGGAGGAATCGAACTCGGGTCGGCCATGTTGGCTGCGTGCAAGGCAAATGCCCTACCGCTGTGCTATCGCTCCAGCCCAGTAAATAGATAAATAAATTTGTGGTAAATGGGGGACATGAATGTGGCAAATGGGGGACATGGGGTGCTATACCTGACAGTGCTTGGTGATTTCTACTAGTTCTGTGCTCAGGGATCACTCCTGATTGGGCTTGGGGAACCAGATGCAGTGCAGGGGATCAAACCAGGGTTACCAGCAGTCAGAACAAATGCTTTGACTTTCTCTATTGTCTCCCTGGACCCTGAGTCACAGACTTGAAGAAGGAAGGTTGGAGTCAGGCTAGTGGTCAGGGAGTATGCTCAAGGTAGATTATAGGGTTAGCAAGAGCAACCTTAAGGATCAGATTGGGGAGTTAACTTCTTATCATTCTGCTAAGTTTTTAAACTCAGAAAACCTGATCCTGTTCCTAAACCTGATCAAAGAGAAACAAACAGGTAGATCTCAGGGACACAGGAGAAACACCCACCTGGGAGCAGAGACCACTATCGATTGGCTTCTGCTGGAGCCAGGCTCCTCACCTACCTCTAGCAGAGGTGCTGGTTCAGGTGGGAGAGCGGGGAAGGTCACAGTGAAGCAGGTCTGGCCCACAGGGAAGCTGCCTGGGAGGCTGGAGGCAGGCAGAGCCTCTTCCATGATTGCTTTAGGGACCTTTTGGGCTTTCTGAGTTTGACACTGAGACAGACATAGGGACAGGAACGGGGAAGCTCTTAATCAGTAATGCTGTTCTTCCCTCTCTGGGCTGATCATTGCCAAATTGTACCCTGGCTCCTCTGACAAATGGTTGGAGTTAGAGTTCTGTTGTCCAGCCATCGTCTTTCTGGATCTTCTTTCTCAGTTTGTAGTTTCAGTTTACTCCACCTCCCACCCCCACTCCCTTGTCCCAGGTCTGGGAAGCACCATGTAGCACACCTTTCTCTGTGCCATAGCCACTGAAAGGCTAATTATTTAAGTGTACAGTTGAACCCCATGAAACAAATACTGCAATCTTTTCTGGGGTCTTGTTTCCCTGCAGTGAGTGAGAGGAATCTGGATACCCAAAGCACAGTGCATTGGGATTCTGTGTATATATGAAACAATTTTCAAAACTTCTCTCTTCTTAGCTAGATGATTGTCATTCCCTGACTGCCCCGCCCCCCTTGCCCTGCCCTGCCACACTCCAGCACAAACCTTTAACAGGCTACAGAGGACACCTGAAAAGGGCTCTTCTGACAACTGCTGAGGCCTCTTTGGGCCACAGAGTTATTATAGCAACTCAAAAGTAAGCAATAATGATTCTCCCCCAAACCTCTCTTTGCCTAGCTGGCCCTCAGGAGTGGAGAATCCAGTAAATGGAAGCAGAGTTGCCCAGATCTGATGCCTGACTGAGTTTGAAAGGAGAGAGCTCAGATTCTTAAATCTCTAGATCTCTGGACTGGATCTGGGCAATCTTGATCACTGTTCAGGGAGAAAACACCTTGACATGGGGATGTGACAATCCAAACCTGGTGGTGATGGCCATTCTTGGAAGATTTTTCTCTTTTCCACGTCAGCAGAGGGAGATGTTAGGAGGTCTCAATGGATGCAGGATCCATTTGCTGGACCTGGTCTTGGTGCTGAGGTCTGTTAGGGTCCTGTCTATCTCTGCTCATGAGTTTTGCATTCCCAGATTCACTGGATGAACTTGACAGGACGGGCCTGTCAGCTATCAGCTTTAGAGCTAGTGTTTGTCCTAAGGCGTCCCATGAGTCAAGAGGCTGGAATTCAAACCCAGGCTGCCCAGCTTCCAAGATTTATCTTTTCTCCTTTGCTTCCTCCAGTGTCAAGAAAGGGAAATTATACTTTGGCTTATGTAATAATGTTAGATAATGGTGGCCCCTGATTATCAGTAGGAAAATAACATTTGGGTTTCAATCTGCCTGTGGAAGAAACACATCCTTTTTTTTTAAATATTATTGTGAATCACAATACTTCACTTTATTTATTTATTTATTTTATTAGTGAAACACCATGACGTACAGATGTAGACTTGCATCTACATGTAAGTAGATGTTTACTACTACTTAAACATAGTTTAAGTGCTTGGGTTTCAGTTATACAATGATCAAGTATCCATCACTCCACTAGTGCCCATTCTTCACCACCAATGATCCTCGGAGCCCTCCCAACCCCACAGCCCACCCTTCCCCACCCCAACTCTGCCTCTGTGGCAGGGCATTCCATTTTGCTCACTCTTTCCTTTAGGGTATTGTAGTTTGCAATAGAGGTTTTGAGTGGCCATTGTGTTCAGTCTGTAGTCTACTTTCAGCACACATCTCGCATCCGGAGCGAGTCCTCCAAACATCCTTTACTTGGAAAAGGAACACATCCTGAAGTAGATTTATTTAACAAGAAAATGACTGTGTCTTGGTAAGTTTATTTATTTTAATGGGGTTCTGGGACAGATAGAGATTATTGGGATCTAAAGCTCCATCCATCATTCCCTGGCACTGCCTGTAAGTTTGGGAAATGAAAGGCTGCATCTGAAACTTTATTGCAGATTGAGCCCTCGAAATAGAACTTGAAGATTTGCATTTCTTTTGGAGAAAATACTCTTGACTGATTGTGTAAAACTGGAAAAGGGAACTGAATGGTTATAGTCACTATTCTGTGCTGAGTATTATAACAGAATTTTATCTTTGTCTTAAGAAATAGGAATTTTGGTTCATATTGCTTAATATAAGCAGTGAAAATGAAACGATATGTGTTCCTTTTTTTGATGCTTCCAAAGTTGTTGTCTTTCATCAAAATTATTTTTCCCAAGATTCCTGACTATACTTGTGGTTCTTAAAATGATGTGTATCACCATGAAATTAAAACCACCCTGAATGGCATTCTTGGGCTTGTTCTCCTCAAGTTCTGGTCATGTCTAGACTTTTATATTCTACTCTCCCTAGAGAAAGACAGAAGCAAAGGATAATAACAATCTTACTGTTTTGGCACACATTCATTCCACAATTTGAAAAAATAAAAGACAAAAAACAACTTTTAGTCTACTAACTTGGTGATCTTTTTTTTTTCTTGCTTTCTTTTTTTTTTTTTGGCTTTACACAAGTAAAGATAATGGAGGGATGCAAAACTTAGTTCCAGTTAAAGAATTCCTCCAGTGGATACACATTGATATTATCGCTGTAGTTTTGTTTTTTAAAAAAATATTCTTCTCATGAGGCTGTAGAGAGTTTGAAACACACTTGTGTTCCAGTTCTATAAGCTTAGACTTAGCAGTTAACAAATGTCAGCATTGGGTATTTGATCATTGTATAATTGAAACCCAAGCCCAAAAATGTGTAAGTCTGCAACTGTACCTCATGATCTCTCACTATTAAAAATTTTTTTAATAAAAAATTTAAAAAAACCAAATGTCAGCATTAACCTAATGCTTGTTTGTGTGAG